AGTTTTGCTACAGAAATAAGTGTGGTATCAAGTATTGTGAAGACGAGTATAACTTGAAGGCTTGCATTTGAAGGACCAGAAGTAGGATGAAGATAGGCTGCAGAGTAAGAGATAGAGGCCCAAGATTTAATTAGAATTGTGGTAGTATGTGGTTATATTATCTCGGTATGAGAGATTTAACTCTTGCTTGGGGGGTGAGGTGCTGGCAGTGAAAATGAAGGAAACTAAGCTGAAAAAATCTCCAGGAAAGAACTGACAGGACTGATCTGTAGGAAAGGAAAGAAATGGAAGAGTAAAAAATAACTGTATGTAGAACTAACCTGACTGGAAATTAGTTACACTATTCAGAGAATAAAGGAATAAAGAAGATAATGAATTTAAATTTCTACTCGAGTTTGACTAACATCATTACATCTAAACATAGATAAACATAGATATCTAGTGTGCAGATAAATACTATAGCTTACAGGAGGGTCAGGTCATCAGCATAAATGTCTACTCGATGATGTCAAGCATGCATTATCACAAATATTTTTTCATATATTAGGACAAAGATAGTGGGAAAACCTCTGTGGTTGTGGGGACATGGAACCAAGAAGAGCATATTGAATGGGCTAAGAAGAATACTGCTAGAGTCTATCATCTTCAAGACGATGGTACCCAGACAGTCAGGTAAAGATTCACTTTATTTGCCTTTGGATCTGATTAGTAGAATTTCTAAAACTCAGAATATTGAAAAACACAAAAATTTAAACACTTAAGTAAAATCCCTGGTCAGTTATTTTTCAGGGGACATCTTTTAGGTTAGTTTTCTTTTCTTGGGGAAGCAACACTATAATAGTTAAGAGCACAATCTCTTAGTAAGACTACCTGGATTCAAATGCTGGCTCTTTTACTACCTAAGACAAATTACATAATCTTTTAACTCTCACTTTTCTTGTCCAATGGTATTTGTGTCACAGGATTGTTGTGACATTTAAATGAGGTAATTCATGTAAAGGATAGTGCCTGGCAGTAACATGCAGTAACCTTTGGCTGCTGCCTTTAATTAACAGTGGTGGTGGTACATTAATGACAGTGGCAGCGGTATTAGTAACAGTGGCTCAATTCCATTAAAATGGGCTGTTATAAAATGTTTGCCTCTTTCATGTGTAATCTTTACTTCTGTAAGTTACTTAATTCTATTTAAATATACCCTTTGTTACTTAATCTTTGTGAGATAATGGTTGAAAACGGTTGAACAGCAGCTTTTTCAAAAACTACCTCACATATCTTTTGGGCTATGTGGGTATTATTTTGTCATAACAGAAGTAAATTAATTTCATTTCCCAAGAATATCTAAGCTTTAGCTTTTCTTGTAGTCTCTTGCCCAGTATACTTTAAATTATTCATTCTTGTTCATTCTCAGCTGTTAACTTTGTCCTTCATAGAATAGATAGTATTGAGAGACTGTTTTCATAACATACTGATGACCAAAATCAAAATTAGCAAAATTAAGACATAAACATTTAAGTATTATAATATATTAAACAGCTTGACTTTTCTTATAGGTATATGTTTCATGTGAAAATAGTTACGGTGTTAATGTGCAATAAATATTGAAGCAGGGGAGTGTTAGACTGGCAAAATTAAAGCTTTCCTTTGGATCCTGCTCATTTAAGATTTATAGCTTGGCCTAGACTTTGCCTTTTGTACTCTAGTACCTACAGTACAGTATTGTAATAGAAGTAGCTTGATAGAGGACAGAAACAGAACTGTTCACAAAACAATATACTGGGCTGGGGAAATAGATAACTTGAAAACAACATTTTAAAGAAGTCTAACCATAATTATTTGTATTCAAATAAATAATATACAAGTTGATCATTATTATGAATGAAGCCACTACAGAGTATCTCTAATTTATCTTCTCTTTATAGAATCTGAAAGACTGTCTCTGTGACATAACTCTGAAAATATTTTATAATCATTATTTTAACCAATGCAAAACTGATCCCTCTGATCATCTTCTCACCCTACCCATTACAAGTATTCTGAATTAGTGAGATTTAGTTTAATAAAGCTTGTATGTTTCTCTGATTCAGGATGGTGTCACATTTTTATGGAAATGGAGATATTTGTGATATAACTGACAAACCAAGACAGGTGACTGTAAAACTAAAGTAAGTTAGACCAAAATTATGTCATGCTTTATACCCTTCTCTTTTATCTGCTTCCTATGGATAAATGTTTTACGTAAAGATAAAGTATAATTATGCACAATTATTAAGTTATTTGTTAAATTATACAGGGTCCACTTGAATGGGATTTTTATAGCTTAAGAAGAAAACTATTAAGAATAATTTTATTTTGTATGATTTAGGCAGTACCTTAAAGTACTCTCTGTTTTAGGTGTAAAGAATCAGATTCTCCTCATGCCGTTACTGTATATATGCTAGAGCCTCACTCCTGTCAGTATATTCTTGGGGTAAGTAAAAAGAAAATAATCAAAAATTCAATTTTGGGCCATATTTTAATTTTTTTGCATTAAGTCTAGAAAGGACCTTCAGTAGTCTCTAAGACTTAATACAGCCCACATACCACTTCTGTGATACC